GGGCTAAATTCTTGGTTGCTATCAACAATTTGTAGCAACAAAAAATTTACACCCGCAAACTATGAATAATTTGATGAAACAATTGATCAATATAAGAATAGTAAGAAGAAACAATCGGCATCACAGAAATAATCCAACATACATGTTCTATGAAAAACAATAAAAGGCAAAAATTAAACTTACCAAGATGGAAAAGCTCTGGAGTTTGGTCCACAGAAAATAGCGTGATGATCTTGTCTTGAATATTTGGATGTGAAAGGATTATGAAGAAAAAATTTAAAAAAAAATCAAGATGAGAAGTTGAGAACTGGAGGAGCCGAAATCGGCGAAAGGGAGAAATGGAGGAATTGAAATTGAAATGAAATGTGCCTGTGCCGTCTGCACTTAATGCTAGGGTTTTTTTTATTTTATTTGATTTTAGTTTTTAGTTAAGTAAAATTTCACGCAACAATAGCTTGTCCTTCGGCTGTGGTTCAGTGGTTTGCGTGCCTTATTCTGGTCTGGGAGACCTGTGTTCGAATCTCTGCAGCCGCCTCCACTCTTCCTATTATTTTGAAATTGAGGGAAAATCTGAGAACCGCCGGTTCGCGGTTTATGCGGGTTTTAACGGTTCGTATGGTTCGACCGGTTCATAGCGGTTTTCCATTACCTTCCGGGTTTGATACTAGACCGGACCGGTGGCATGGCCGGTTCGCGGTCGGACCGGTCGAACCGGCCGGTCCGGTCCGGTTCTGAAAACATTGGTCTTAGGTTACATGCAAATCATCTTCTCTTCTCTGTGTTTTTAGTATGTTCCTACTCCGTTTGGATTAGCTATTTTTGAGGTGTTTTTGAAAAATTTTGCTGTAGCAGAGTTTTTAGAGTATATTTTGGAATATTTTTAGAAAATATTTTGGGATATTTAAGAGTAGAAGAGTTTCTAAAATATATTTTGAGATTTTTTTAAAATTTCAAAAAAAATTTAAACTAATTTTAGATTGCTTTTTAAAATACTTTTTAAAAATTTTTATTATATTTAAAAAAACTAGTTTTTGAATAACACTCCCATCCTAGAGATTATATTGAATCACTTTTGCAATCAGTATTGGTGATGGTGGCATGGTAATTAGTAATTAGCAACACAAATTCATTACTAGCGAATCTATAACTACTAAAATGATTGTGAGATGTGCCACTGGCCTTAAATTCTTTTACGATCGTCATTGAGCAACTTGTATTTATCAATTGTATGATTACTTATGAATTAATCACATTGAACTCCATCAACTAATCTTGGTGGGGTAATTATTCAACAAGCAGAAGGAATGACCATGCAGTGAAATTAGGCCAGGTTGATACAGGATTTTATTACGTTTATTGGATTAATCATCTCACATGTTTCTAAGGGTGTTTAGATTACAAATTACTCAGAAATCCGAAATCTCTTTCATGTTGTGAAGCATCTGTGAAAATGTGAAAGGCACCTCATAAAATTTCAAATTCGCTGGCCAACTACTGAATTAGCAGTTAGCAATTTGTCATTCCTTCAAATTTTCAGTGCGACGGCTGATCTTCTCCATCTGAGCATCTAGCTGTAAACAAATGCCAGTTTCTGTATTGTCATTGAGTTAATGGCAAAACTTCATCGGGCTTGTAAAGACTGGGGCTTCTTTCAGGTAACAAATCAAGAGAATCCATCAGATATAGAATCCAAATTGTACAACTTGTAATGATCAGATACACAGCTTAATTTTCGTAGTAAATTAACGACTAACAGTCCGTGACTCAATCTTGAACAGTTAGTTAATCATGGGGCTGCCACAGTAATTGAGAAAATGAAGTTGGTGACGGAGGACTTCTTTAAGCTGCCGTTACAGCAGAAGATGGCCTGTCCACAACTACCAAATGATGTTGAAGGATATGGTCAAATATTTGTGGTATCAGAGGATCAAAAGTTTGACTGGGGGAACATGCTCTTCCTCTGCGCATTGCCAGTTTCTCAAAGAAATATGAGATTCTGGCCTACGACTCCAACATCTTTCAGGTAGACAATGAATATTACAGAGTATCACAATCTTTTCCCACTTCTGCAGTAATATTATACTGCTCTTATCTTTTCTCAGAAGGCTAGCCTTTTTCGTCAAGCTCCTCTGCTTACGGAATTTCCTATTCGTTATGGGAATTTATCCTCTATTTTTCGCGCAATTGCAAAACAAAGATTCTTTAAAAGGAAGCATCTTTTGCTTCCATTAGAAAGCTACATGGATTACTTTACTTAGGCGGAAAAAAACCTGAAAATTGTGTACAAAAAATTCATCACAATGCTAATTCGCAAATTTCTGATGATGTCAGAGCAACCATGGATGAATACTCACTTCAAATGCACAAGGTTTGCATGACCCTGTTTAAACTTATGTGGGCGAATCTTGGTGTAGACCCAGAAAAATTATGCAGCATCAATCAAGATGGCATGCAAGGAATAAGAATGAATTACTATCCACCTTGCCAGCAAGCAGACAAAGTTATTGGCCAGAGTTCACACTCTGATGCAATAGGATTGACCTTGTTAGTTCAAGTCAATGATGTTCAAGGCCTGCAAATCAAGAAAAGCAACACATGGGTGCCTATTAAACCCATTCCTGGAGAAATCATCATCAATATCGGTGATATCATGGAGGTAACTGACCAATTTTCCACTTACTGAGCATCTATAGATATCATTGAGTTGATGTGCTTTGATGATTTGTGCAAATAAAGAGCAATGGGGAATATCGCAGCATTGAGCATTGAGCTGTCGTGGATTTCCACAAAGAAAGACTTCCAATTGCTGCATTTCACGGAACAAATTTCACAGCAAAAGTTGGCCCTGTAGCAGATCTTGTCAAAGAAATTGGAGAACAATACAAAACAACAGAAACCGAGAGCCTTCTCAGACTCTGCAAACTTGATGGCAAAAGCTTATGGGATCACATGAGGATAAACAAGTGAAAGAATCAGCACATTTTCACTTGCAGTATTACTGTTTTTTTTTTTAATCTTCATCATAAGCCAAGCTTAGTGAATTACCAATATGCCTTCATGGAAGTTTCTAGTTGCATGTTATTGATCTGTTTGCTTTTTTATGTTATGGTCGGTTGTCCAACTCTGGTCCTTAGTTAATTTCCTTTCTTATACTTTAGTAGTGTAAGTACTAGCCCACTAGGCTAGTCCAAGTCAGATTCCCAAGGTTACATCGGCGGTGGTGATTAGTTGTCCAAATTCAAGTGTGTTTCCTGGATGAAGTATCAATATTAGGAAGTTTGTAACTACAGTGGTGCGCTAGATTTGCACTTGTCTGAACGATATCAAACCAACCTTGGATGAATGCTCACTTGAATTGCTTGAAGTCTGCATAACCCTTGTTAAAGTGACGGTCACGAATCTTGGGGTGGACGGACAAGAGATACTAAACAGCATGTATCCGGATGTCATGCAAGGGATGATAATGAATCAATGTCCACCATGCTCGCAAGGAGACAAGGTAATGTGTCTCATCGCTCCACATTCTGACGGAGGACTTACACTATTGGTTCAAGTCAACAAAGTTGAAGGGCTGCAGATCAAGAAAAATAATAGATGCGTGCTTACATAACTTCCTAGTTCTAGTTTTTTGGTCATGCACTGGAGGAGGAGTATGATGATGTAGGAAGTCAGGGAAAACAAGAAAATTTGTCAAAGAGGAAGAAGTCAATTTCTAAGAATGGACATAAAGTCGATTTCTAAGATGTGAATTTCCTTATTTTGGGTAAACAATTTTCTAGGTTGCCTCGCAATACGTGAGAAGCAAGAACATCTATAGCATTCATCCTGTCCCTGGGAGAATCTTCTGTGCAAGCTATAGCTATTCTCACAATAGACGTTATGCCCTCCAACTTTTCAGCAAAGTGTTGATAGCCTGGCTTGAGCAAGTTTGCATCTACTACCTGAGATACTACAGTAGGCAGTTGGCACACAACTTTTTACCCAGTTCCTTAGACATGTATCTGAAAACATTTCATCAATGGGCTTTAATCTAGCAAAAACTTCTATCAGCATGCTTCCGTAGCTATAAATGTCAGATCCTGTTGATACTAGTCCTTCGAATCCATACTCTAAAGTGGAAATTGTTCAATGGATCATGTTTTCACACAATTAGAACAGAAATTTTGAGTTTAAATCTCTAAGAAACAAAATGGAGGTATTTGGAAGTAATTGGAGCTTTACCTGGTGCAATATAGACAATATTTTTGGAACACCAAAATTAGTCACACAGGCAACTATATCTTCATTTAGAAGGACATTATTTGGCTTCAAATCGCAATTGTTGTAAGAATACAACCACTTCTCAAGTCAAGGCTTCCATTGGGCAAGTAATCAAGTATTAATCCCTTGAAGTCATCATTGGAGCACACACCGATGACCTTGGTCAGATTTCTGTGCCTAAGACTGCGTAAGACTTCACGTTCTCTGGTCTCTTGAATGTATATTCCAACTGTAAATTGAACACCTTTATGGCCACACAAATTCCATTAGCGAGAATCCCTTTGTAAACAGATCCAAAACTTAGTAAGTTGCTTTCATCATAACCATTGGTTGCTTGTAGGAGTTCACAATACGAAATCCTTCCTTTTGCTGTCAAGGAGAACAAATTAGTTCCATTAGGAACCTTCTCCTTCTGTACGTATCGAAGGAACAAAAATGCCAAGTCTACACCAGCAATTATTGCTGAAACTCCAAACACTAACAATTTAGTTTGAAGCACTTTCTTTGTCCTTGATTTGTGAATTGAAGGAGTTTGGCTTGCTGGAACATAATGCATCATTGGAGATAAAAGATTCACTAGTGAAATTCTTGAAAGGGCCGTTAGATGGAATTTGCCCCTGTAAATAAATAATTGAAAGAGACATTGAAGTAGCTGAGAGATTGAAGTGTTTTGATAGGTCCAAATATTCCAAACTTACCATGTTACTGATTGACTCAGGAATGGTACCTTCAAAGTTGTTCTATGCCAAAGAAAGATGATTCAAGTTTTCTAAATCTCCAATTCTGCTAGGAATGTTATTTGAGAACTGATTCATCCACAAATTTATCCATGTTGCAACCTTCAACAGTCCAATCTCTGAAGGTAGAGAGCCAGTCAAGAAATTCGATGACAGAATAAATCCCAAGAGATCTTTGAGGCTCCACAAACTGTCAGGCACATAAGAAGTTATTCTGTCGGAAGCTAGATAAAGATATATGAGCGAAGTAAGATTACCTAAACATGCAGGAATTGATTTCCAATCAGATGTAATAAATTCAAGTACTGTAAGCTACACAAACTATCAGGCAAGGGATTCTCTCGTAGACCTAGCACTCTCAAATTGCTTAGATTGCCAACAGTTTTTGGAATTCTTCCCTTCATTTTACAGCCACCTGCATAAATCTCTTCTATAGAAGAAGAAAGTTTTCCTATAGAAACTGGAAGAACACCAGTTAACCGGTTATTAGCCACTGAAATTATTCTCAGGTATCTGCATTCTGTTAACGCAGTGACGAAGCTTAACTCCACCAATGAAGATTCATTTGTTAAATTGTTATCAAACAGCACTAAGCATTCAAGAAATTGTAGATTCCCAAAGACTATATAAATTGGACGAGTGAATCTGTTTCGAGCAAACTCTGCATGAGTGAGTTTAGAGGAGTTTGAGATTGAGTCAGGTACAATACAACAGTCTACTGAGGTTATTAGAGCTGAGGTAAAGGTCTTCTAAATTAGGCAGACCTAAACCCATATTGGACGGAAGATTGCCTGAAAGACTGTTGGAAACAAGTGAAAGCACTCTAAAAGTAGAGATGTTGAAGATCCTGGTTGGTATGGAACCTTTAAACTGTTAAATCTTAGGTTCAACATCTCCAATGTTTGTAGGTTTCCAACCTCAGGGAATTACACCTGCCAAATTAAAACAGATAGAACTCCTGAAATGGAATGTTTTGCTATCCTGAAGAAACACATCATTTGCAAACGGAAGCATGTTTATTTTAATTTTAATTTCAATGTAAAAATGTCTTCAAGAAACATGATACACATTGTAGGTTTATTGGTACAAGGTAATTATTATACTATTTAATGATGAATGATCTCACATCATATGCAATGTGAATTGAAACATTGGCAAATTTGGGAAGAAAAGAACAAATTGTGAGATATCTAACATGCCCACCTCTTGATCGTTTGCTGAATCAAATATAGAAAAGATCAAGAAACAAAAAGATAAAGAGTTATAGTATACAATACATTAACAACCTCACACATTATACACGATACAAATAATAAATAAGAAGGCAAGACACAGAAGATGATGAACAAAAAAAAAAAAAAACAAAAAAAGAGGAACCAGTGTTGTCCACAAACTAGGGAAAGGGAAGCCACGGCGGCTGCTGCTGCTAGGAATGATTATGTTTTCTTCTTCTTCTCCTCCCATAGCTGGCGCTCTCTCCATTCCCGGTCATCTGTATAGTAACCAATGAGAATTTCAGGAATGTGCAATGTTTTCAGAACCGGACCGGACCGGCCGGTTCGACCGGTCCGACCGCGAACCGGCCATGCCACCGGTCCGGTCTAGTATCAAACCCGGAAGGTAATGGAAAACCGCTATGAACCGGTCGAACCATACGAACCGTTAAAACCCGCATAAACCGCGAACCGGCGGTTCTCAGATTTTCCCTCAATTTCAAAATAATAGGAAGAGTGGAGGCGGCTGCAGAGATTCGAACACAGGTCTCCCAGACCAGAATAAGGCACGCAAACCACTGAACCACAGCCGAAGGACAAGCTATTGTTGCGTGAAATTTTACTTAACTAAAAACTAAAATCAAATAAAATAAAAAAAACCCTAGCATTAAGTGCAGACGGCACAGGCACATTTCATTTCAATTTCAATTCCTCCATTTCTCCCTTTCGCCGATTTCGGCTCCTCCAGTTCTCAACTTCTCATCTTGATTTTTTTTTAAATTTTTTCTTCATAATCCTTTCACATCCAAATATTCAAGACAAGATCATCACGCTATTTTCTGTGGACCAAACTCCAGAGCTTTTCCATCTTGGTAAGTTTAATTTTTGCCTTTTATTGTTTTTCATAGAACATGTATGTTGGATTATTTCTGTGATGCCGATTGTTTCTTCTTACTATTCTTATATTGATCAATTGTTTCATCAAATTATTCATAGTTTGCGGGTGTAAATTTTTTGTTGCTACAAATTGTTGATAGCAACCAAGAATTTAGCCCTTACCCCTACTTGATTGGGTTGATTCTAAAATTAAAATTATTATAATTTGAGGATAAAAATAGAGATTTATTAATAATTTGGGATTAATATTTCATATTAATTAACGAATAATTTTCTTGAAAATACAGAGATATGTCTGACTTTGAAATAATCATGACATTTTTTACCTATTGCCACGTATCCAGAGACATGTTATTCAAGAAGAAACATTTCAGTTTTTGTAAGAGCTGCATTTGTTTATGACTTATAAATGATAGCATTTTTTACAATTGATTTCCTTCTTCGGTTGAATATAGAAAAATTCACTACTTTTAGGAGTCATTTTCTTCGAATCAGTGTTCTTTAACGAATTAGTAGAAATCATTTTAATTGTCAAACCCGAGAAAAATTGCCTATGGTAACTTGTTTGAGCAATTTACGTATTTGCTAACTTTTCTGTTTCCTTTATCTATTGTTTGTTCAAATTACCTAGACAATAACAATATAACACACGCTGTATATAAATTGACTAGGTACATAATTGTCTCACTATTAGTATATATCCTTCTTGTTATTTCTTTGTTTCTTAGGAAAACAAAAAGTAAGATTCCTGTGTTTGATCAATTGTTTCATCAAATTATTCATAGTTTGCGGGTGTAAATTTTTTGTTGCTACAAATTGTTGATAGCAACCAAGAATTTAGCCCTTACCCCTACTTGATTGGGTTGATTCTAAAATTAAAATTATTATAATTTGAGGATAAAAATAGAGATTTATTAATAATTTGGGATTAATATTTCATATTAATTAACGAATAATTTTCTTGAAAATACAGAGATATGTCTGACTTTGAAATAATCATGACATTTTTTACCTATTGCCACGTATCCAGAGACATGTTATTCAAGAAGAAACATTTCAGTTTTTGTAAGAGCTGCATTTGTTTATGACTTATAAATGATAGCATTTTTTACAATTGATTTCCTTCTTCGGTTGAATATAGAAAAATTCACTACTTTTAGGAGTCATTTTCTTCGAATCAGTGTTCTTTAACGAATTAGTAGAAATCATTTTAATTGTCAAACCCGAGAAAAATTGCCTATGGTAACTTGTTTGAGCAATTTACGTATTTGCTAACTTTTCTGTTTCCTTTATCTATTGTTTGTTCAAATTACCTAGACAATAACAATATAACACACGCTGTATATAAATTGACTAGGTACATAATTGTCTCACTATTAGTATATATCCTTCTTGTTATTTCTTTGTTTCTTAGGAAAACAAAAAGTAAGATTCCTGTGTTTGATCAATTGTTTCATCAAATTATTCATAGTTTGCGGGTGTAAATTTTTTGTTGCTACAAATTGTTGATAGCAACCAAGAATTTAGCCCTTACCCCTACTTGATTGGGTTGATTCTAAAATTAAAATTATTATAATTTGAGGATAAAAATAGAGATTTATTAATAATTTGGGATTAATATTTCATATTAATTAACGAATAATTTTCTTGAAAATACAGAGATATGTCTGACTTTGAAATAATCATGACATTTTTTACCTATTGCCACGTATCCAGAGACATGTTATTCAAGAAGAAACATTTCAGTTTTTGTAAGAGCTGCATTTGTTTATGACTTATAAATGATAGCATTTTTTACAATTGATTTCCTTCTTCGGTTGAATATAGAAAAATTCACTACTTTTAGGAGTCATTTTCTTCGAATCAGTGTTCTTTAACGAATTAGTAGAAATCATTTTAATTGTCAAACCCAAGAAAAATTGCCTATGGTAACTTGTTTGAGCAATTTACGTATTTGCTAACTTTTCTGTTTCCTTTATCTATTGTTTGTTCAAATTACCTAGACAATAACAATATAACACACGCTGTATATAAATTGACTAGGTACATAATTGTCTCACTATTAGTATATATCCTTCTTGTTATTTCTTTGTTTCTTAGGAAAACAAAAAGTAAGATTCCTGTGTTTAAATTAACTAGTTTTGTGCTACTAAGAACCATTAATAGCCATGAGTTTTGTGCTACTAAGAACCATTAAAATCCCTCTACTGTGATAACTATATCTTTTTTTTTTGTAAATGAAAAAATTAAATGCTAACAGTTGAGCTATTCATGTGACTAATTGATCTTCTTATATTACTGAAAATTTGTTAATTTTATTTTCTTATTAGTACACTATATTTTACAAATGAACTAATTATGTGTTTGAATTAACTATGTGAAGGATAATGGATACCGGTACTGGTACGGGTAGTAATTCACAATCTTCGACTGCTGGAGCTGTCAATAGTGAACAATCAGCTAGTCAAAATCATAGACAAAAGTCTGATATAGCATGGAAATATTGTTCAGTAGGTGTGAATAGTCAAGGAAAAAGAACTTTGACATGTGGGTATTGTTTTAAAGTAATTGCTGGTGGTGGCATTCATCGAATGAAACAACATTTGGCAGGAGAACAAGGCAGCATTGTTCCATGTTCAAAGGTTGACCCGGCAGTTAGACATGCTATTTTAGCATCTATGAAGGAGAAGGAGCAGAAATCTAAAGAAAAAAAAGGTGATTTTGGGGTGGAAAATCCATTCGGCCACACTACTCATTCATTTGATGGCGATGAAGTTTTGGAGATTCCTTCTTCTTTAGCAAATAAGATGGGTTCATCTAGTAAAGGAAAGAGAAAGGTCACTGCATCAACAGGTATTCCTGCTTTTTTTAAAGGTGGATGTGATACTTCTCAACCAACCATTAAAGCTTGTTTGCAAAGTAAGGAAAAATGGGAAAATACGGACATGGCTATTGCTCTTTGGTTTTATGATGCTTGCATTCCTATAAATGCTGTTAATTCTCCATTTTTTCAAAAAGCTATTGATCAAATAGCATCAATGGGTCATGGTTACAAAAGTCCATCCTATCATTCTTTGAGGGTTAATTTGTTGCGAAATGCCAAGAGAGATGTGAAATTGGTTGTTGATTCTTTTAGAAGTACTTGGACAGAAACTGGTTGCACTATAATGGGTGATGGATGGAAAGACACTAGGCAAAGACCACTGATTAATTTTTTGGTTTATTGTCCTAAGGGTATTTCGTTCATTAAATCTGTGGATGCATCTGATATTGTAACAAGTGCAGCAAATTTGTGCAATTTATTTGCTGAAATTGTTGAGATGGTTGGTTCAAATAATGTGGTGCACTTAGTTACTGATAATGCTAGCAATTATAAAGCTGCTGGGTCTTTGTTAAGTGAAAGATATCCGAACATTTGTTGGTCACCGTGTGCTGCACACTGCATCAATTTGATTTTGAAAGACATTGGTGAAATGAATGATGTAAAAGCTATAGTGTCTCTTGCTTCAACGGTGACTGTTTTTATTTACAATCATAAGTTCACTTTGAATTGGTTAAGAAAGACTACAGGGTGGAAAGAAATTATTCGTCCAGGTGAAACTCGATTTGCAACTACCTTTATTGCATTAAAAAGTTTGCATGATCATAAGGATAGTTTGCAATCTTTGGTTACTAGTGGGGATTACAAACAATTTCTGAGAATAGAAAAAGGAAAAGATGTGAAGCAAATCGTTTTGGATGAAAGGTTTTGGAATAACTGTTTGATTATGGTGAGAATAATGGGTCCTATCATTCGTTTATTGCGTATTTGTGACACTGATGAAAGGCCTTCATTGGGTTATGTTTATGAAGGCATGTTTAGAGCAATAAATGGCATCAAAAGGCTGTTTAGAAATAAAGAGAGATTGTACAAGCCTTATATTGACATCATCAGTGATAGGTGGGATAGAATGTTGAGAAAAAATCTACATGCTGCCGCTTATTATTTGAATCCTGCTTTTCAATATGAGAGTGCCACATTTTGTACACATCCAGAGGTTATAAATGGCTTGCTTGATTATATTGAAACAAAAGTGGATTGGTGCAACCCTGAAAAATTATCGCAAGAGGTTGGAATGTATCGGGAAAGACAAGGGAGTTTTGGCCGCAAACTTGCTATTCTTACTAGCAAATCTGATCGGCCAGGTTATTTATATTTTTTTTAATGTATAAAAATTGTGATTTTATTCTTTATTTGATCTAATATTTTAATATGATTGTGACAGAAAATTGGTGGAAGTTATATGGTTGTGATGCTCCGAATTTGCAAAAGCTTGCAATTAGAATTTTGAGTCAAACTGCTTCTTCTTCTGGGTGTGAACGTAATTGGAG